CGATGATCATCGTTTCCAATGTGTGAATGTTGCTTCGTCTCTTCTGGCGCGTAATGTGCGTGAACTATTTTTGGACGATGAAAAATGGACTATCTGTGCGAATATTAAACGCAAAAAACAATGGATCCGTCCTAGACAAAAACCAATTCCGACCTCCAAACCTGAACTTCATCCGCAGAAAGTGATGCTTTGTATTTGGTGGGACATCAAAGGAGTAATTCATTTCGAACTCCTCAATCCACAGCGAATTGTCAATGCGTAGATCTATAATCAAGCCCTTCATCAGAAACGCCCTTCACTTGTCAATCGGAAAGGTGTTATTCTTCTCCACGACAATGCACGTCCACATGTGGCACGTTTGACGCAACATAAGATTATGGATTTAGGTTTGGAAGTTCTCCCCCACCCACCATATACTTCAGATATGGCACCATCTTTTTCGTTCGCTGCAACACCATTTTAATTGGAAAACGTATGCAAATGTGGAAGGTGTTAAAGAGGACATCGACATGTTTTTTTTGCTTCAAAGCCAAGTGATTTCTTTAATCAGGGCATTAACAACCTGATTGTAAAATGGAAAAGCATCATCGATAAGAATGGATGCTATTTCATTTAATAAATGTTTCGTTTTGGTATATATAAGTTGTTCGGATGTTTTTCATCTAAAAAAAGCGACATTAATTTATTGACGACCTAATAGATGTCTTGTTAATGATATTCCTTTGGTGTTTCCATATTTCTGGTTCTTGTTTTGAATGAAATAATTTCTTCTATCCGTCTTCCCTTCATTTATTCTTTTCACTTTTTTTTTTATCATTGTCTTTTTAAATTTTCACCTTCTTCATATTTTTCTAGACTATTCCTTATTGCCATTATTAGTCTCCTCTTAGACTTCATTTAAATTTTTAGAGAATTTTCGAAGCTTATAATATTTTTTGTTTCTTATTTCTTTTATCATTCCTTTATGTTGATATGGAACTCGTATTTGGACCTATTCTATTTGCCTATATTTTTCTAAACTTTATTTATCTTTGTCAGTTTTTCGTTTTCTAAGTTTTTTTGTTCTTGAAATTGCTTCTCATCTTTTGAACCCTCTTTTCATTTTCTTTTTTAAATTTCTTGTTCAATATTTACTCTTTTTTTCTGAACTTGCTCTTATTTCTCCTTAGTTTTATATTATTTCCTTTCTCTATGTCTGTTGTCTATTCTCTAATGCTTGTTTCTAATTTCATTTTCCCGTTGCGTTTTTATTTTAGTTTTTCTTGGTTCATTCAGCAATCTGCCTTATTTTTTCCTTTTCCTTTAACTGTTGTTAGCCTCCACCTCTTATTCTTTCTGCAACTGATTTTTTCTCT